CCCCAGAGCGCCCCCGCGCGGACACCGCCGGCACCGCCCCACAGCGCCGCCCCCGGAGCGCCCCCTGCTGGGAGCCCGCGGGAGCGCGCCCGGAGCGCGCGGGGCCGTGAGCAGGGACCGGATCACGGGGATCGGCACATGCGGCCAGCCCCGAGCCCCGGCCCTCAGCCCGCTCCGGGCACCGCCGCCCGCTCGGTCCGCCCGGCCCCGTCCCTCCCGCTCGCACCGGCCGCGACCCCCGGGCCCCTCCTCACACGTTGAGCGGGTTGCGCTTGTTCTGCAGCGGCGTGTCGGGCACCAGGTCGCTGTCCTTGAGCACGGAGCCGAGCACGGCGATGGCGAGCAGCAGCGCGGGCAGCCGGCGGCGCACCCGCCCGCGGGCCAGCGCGGCGATCCATCCGCGGGGGTCCATCCACAGGGATCCGATCACAGGGATCCATCCGCGGGGGTCCATCCACAGGGATCGGCTCACGGGGATCCATCTGCAGGGATCGGTTCAAAGGGATCTGTTCAAAGGGATCCCATCACAGGGATCAGCTCACGGGAATTGGCTCACAGGGATCCGATCACAGGGATCCATCCACAGGGATTCATCCAGAGGGATCAGCTCACGGGGATCCAATCACGGGGATCCGATCACAGGGGTGTGTTCAAAGGGATAGGCACACAGGGATTGGCTCACAGGGATCAGCTCACAGGGATCAGCTCACGGGGATCTGATCACAGGGATCGGCTCACAGGGATCTGGTCATGGGGATCCAGTCACAGGGATTAAGTCACAGGGATTTATCATTAGGGACCTGTTCACAGGGATCCATCCACAGGAACCTTTTCACAGGGATCCATCCACACTGATCCATCCACAGGGATCCATCCACAGGGATCTGTTCACAGGGATCCATCCGCGGGGATCCGATCACAGGGATCCGATCATGGGGACTGGCTCACAGGGATCCATGCACAGGGATCCATCCACAGGGATCCATCCACAGGGATCGGCTCATGGGGATCAGACCACAGGGATCCATCCGCAGGGACTGGCTCACAGGGACTGGCTCACAGGGATCCATCCACAGGGATCTGTAGGCATACATACATCTGCAGGGAGCCATCCACTGGGATCTGCAAGGATCCATCATCCACACGGATACATATGGATCCAGCTGCATGGAGCCATCCACAGGGATCCATCCACACAGATCCACAGGGATCCATCCACACAGAGCTGTTAATAAAGATCCATCCACATGGTTTCACTCGGAACCACATGGATCCACTTACAAGGATCCATGTCCACGGGTCCATCCCCACGGACCCATTCCCATAGGTCCGTCCTTATGGATCTATCCACATGGATCCACACACACAAACCCATCCACATGGATCCATCCACGTGGATCCATCCATGCAGACCCATCCACATGGATCCACACACTCCAACCGCACCACATGGATCCATCCACGTGGATCCATCCATGCAGACCCATCCACATGGATCCACACAGATGCCTCCCCACAGACCCATCCACAAAACCACATCCCCAAGTGCCACATCTGCACCTCTTTTAAATCCTTCCAGGGATTCTGACCCCTCCACTTTCTTGGGCACCTTCTGCTGGTGCTTGTAACGATTTTGGTGAAAACATTTTCCTTAATCTCCAATCTAAATCTCCACTGGTGCAACTTGAGGTTGTTTGCTCTTGCCCTATAAAAGACCAAGCACTACTTTTAACTAGGTTACCAGTACATCTGAAAAGAGGGTCTTACCATGATATTCATGAGAAAATCTGAGAATTTTCTCAATCAGAAAAATTATTTTAATCTTTCCTAGGTCTGAAGAGGCAGGGAGAAAGTATTTCTGGAGCTGTTAAGGCTCTCATGCCTTTTGACTCTCCATGCTTATGGCTGAAAGTGGTGTCCAAACACCGGCCATAGCTGTGGTATTTGAGACCTATTTCATCTACTGAACAGCTGCCGCTGTCATTTCAGCTTAGTTTTTAAAATATAAAAAAATCATCAGCAAGAAAAGAACAAAGAGCCTTTATTCATCCCAATGGCCTCAGTAAGAAAAATGTGAGAGTGGTGGTGGGGGGAGAAGCAGATCCTATCTGAGTCAGGATGGGAAAGTATTTCTTGCCAGAGTATTTCAAAGCTGTTTCGCCGTCATCGTCAGCAAATCTATGACAACATCTGGGCTGAGAGAGCAGATCAACACATCAAAGCAGCCCCAGCAGATATGGAGGGTTTGGGCTAAGGAGGTTATCCAGGGTAAATGGCATTTGGCAATTGATTAGCTGTTGTTTTTAATAAGACTGCCACGGCCATGTCTAGCACTCCCAGCCCCAGCACTGCACCCCGAATGAGAAACGACAGGCAGCTGCGCTCACTCAAACGAGTGAGGATGAGTGGGGCTGGGAGCAGGTTTCACAGAGTCCCTCATTGTCTGCCTAAATCCCCTCTGCCTTTGAAACCTGGCCTCCTGTGCTTCCCAGGTTTGGGTCTGCGAGTGCAGACTGTTTGCAGTGCCGGCGCTGGAGGTGGGAGCTGCTCGGCTGGCTGCTAATGAAGCGTGCTGCGCTGTCTGCCACGCGCGGGGCGTTTCGTAAGCCTGGCACCTGCTCCAGATGAATGCAGCTGATGGCACGGGCTGCAAATGTTGTCTATCCTCGGCCCGGCTTGAAATGTCTGAGGATTATCTCTGTAAATCGCGGATTCTCGCAAGTGCAGTGAGCAAAGCTCGCTGGGTCCAGGTGCTCTGCAGATTTAGAGAAAATCTCTACTTTCGGGCCGTGTATTTGCTGCCATGAGCACCAAGCCAAGGCCGGCGGACCTTCTGAGGAGCCGACTGCCATACCTCTGAAAAGAATCAGAGAAGTGGAATTTAGGCCTTTCAAAACAGCAGATAAAGCTTTCATTCATAAACAAGGACTAAGGATTGTTCTAAGGGAATTGCAGAAGGCTCCTAAAAAGCTCTGGATACTTGGTCAAGGTGTGACAGGTATAAACCACACTAAACTGAGTTAATTTGTCAGGTACAGCAGATCTGGCTTTTTTTAACTTCTTCCTTAACCTCACCAAATCCCTGCCTGGTTGAAGCTGAACTTTTTCAGACTATTTGATTTTAAAAACTGGTTTGGGAGTAATTTCTTTTTCTGGTTTAGTTTGAACCAAGGCCTCCAACAAACTTCTTCTCTTTGAGAAATCCCATTTTGCCTCTAAAATCCACAGGGACAGATTCATTAGGAGCTGAACAACTTCCAGAGCTGAAGAGTGGCTGGTAAGCCTTGTCCCTTCATGCCCAGTTGCCCAGAGCTCAGGACACTTAATTGGACAGGTAATGGGGAGATCCCAGCTCCCTGAGCAGAGATTTGAAATAGGATCCAACAGAGCTGAAAAAAGCATCCTCCCCCATGACCTGCAGCAGGCTGGGGGGAAATCTTTCCTGTTCATAGAGTTCATGTGGTATCAGCTATTAATTAGAGAAGGAACAATGCCACTAGGAGTTGTTAATTGTTTTAAATAAGTTGCTTAGAAATTTTACTTGTCTTGTTTTGGTGATTCTGTTAATTATCTGCTAATCATTTTGAGTGCAAAGAAGTCTGCCTCGTCGATGTGAGATGATGGCATGGATACCTTCTGCAGAACTGAGGCTCCTCATCTTGAAGCAGACACCTCTTTCAACATAGTCAGTGGAAAGACAGCCTTAGCAGCCCTTTCCAGGAGCCCAGGGCAACTGTTCACCTAATTTGCATGCTTAAAATTAGCTGTGGAGAAATTCAGACCTTGCAAGACAGTGGCACTTTGCTCAGGTGCTGCGTTTGTGATCTCCTGTTGCCTGAATGCTGAGAAAATGATGCTGCAGTGGGGTCACAGCCTCACTCCTCAGTGTCATGAGACCCCTGCTCACAAGTTCTTCCTGCTGATCACTTAAAAATATGTCAGGCTAGAAAGTGGCAAGACTGTTAATGGAAAGCTGATCATGCCTTAAAGCCATCACAGGATGAGTTACTGCAGTTTAATTCTTCAGTTCTGCAGGATGTCCAGCCGTCTTGAGTGTCCTGACACTTAAAAATAAATTGGCAAAGGTTGGGAAGTTTTCTGTGGAATAGGACCAAGACATTTGAATTGAAATCTCAGCCCAAACAGTCAAACTAAACTTCTTGACTGTGTTAAATAGGAATAATTTTATTTTATGAGATTTCTGTGTTCACTGCTCTGTGTTGTGGCCAAGGAAGGATGCTGTGAGAAGAAGGAGAGAAAATTAATTTTTATTTATTTTTTTTTTTACCAAACTCAAGCAATGGTTCTTCTCTGACCCAGGTTTGGAGTAAGGTGGGTTCTTTGGGAAGGTGTGCTCCAGAGGCACCAGGAGCAGATGGTGGGTGCCCTTCCAAGCATCCAGCCTGTCAGGGCTGGCAGAGCCATCAGCCTGTGTCCACACTCGGTGGGGATGAGTTACCCCAGTGGTAACAACCCCTTTGGATCTGGGAGATCTTCTGTCTTCCCAGCTCATCCTCCTCCCTCCCAGCAATTCCCACAGCCTGCCAGCACCTGCTCACCCATCCCTGCCTGCCCAGGGCCCTGGCAGCCCCCAGCCCTTCCCTGGGGGAGCCAGGTGCTCATTCCTGCCGAGCCTCCCCTGCTCTCTGTTTTCCTTGGTGAGCACTGCTCACATCTCCATGATTGATTGTGTTTGAGTTTGATCCTGGAGTGTCCTGGGATGTTTGCATGAGAGGTGCTACATAAGCATAATTTGGGCTGTATTTTCTTTGCCTAATGGGAGCTTAAGCTTGAAGTTAAGATAGTTTTGGCCCTTTGCTGAGACACTGTCCATCAGCCTCAGTGCTTTGGGCTCTGCAGCCTTCTCTATTCACTGCTGGCTTAGGAAAAGAGATTAAAAATAATATTGTGCTTTGTTCCCTTGTGTCAGTGATGCCTTTGAAATGCAGCCCAGG